GAGTTTTGTTAAATGAACAATTTCAGAGATCCTTGGAGGCAGTGTCCTAAATGTCTGCTCTACTTCTTCATCTAGCTCCCTTTCCCAATTTCTCAAAGAAATGTCTCTGTGTACATTTTTGATGTGTTTTGCCAGTTTTTTTTTCCGCTGTGTGGCTTATCTTTCCATCATTTAACAGCATTTATACGGAGCAGAAGTCACTTAGCAAAGTCAACTGAATTGTTCTTTCATCATGAGTTCTGCTTTGGGCACAGTGTGTAAGGAGTGACATCCCAACCGAATGTTCAGCTGAATATTGTTTTTGTTGTCTTTAATTGCTGTTTTGGAAGTTAGGGCTAGGCAGTTTTCATAATATCCTTTTTATTTGCTTTAATGCATAAGGATCTATAATGAGGATATCATCGTTTGTACTTTTTATGTTTAGCTCTATCCTAGTGATTTCTTTTTTAAAATGTTTTTAGTAGAGGGTCTACAGGGTCTCAGTACTCAGATTGGACTCAGAGTGATACTTCCAGTTTTTCAGCCTCCCTTGATTTCTTGCCTTCTGGGTCTCTCAGTGCTTGTTTATTGGGGGTTGTATTCGCCAACTGTAATACTGACATCATCTATTTCTCTTTGCAGTTGTATCCATAGCTGGATTCAGTATTCTGACTTATATAAATATTTTATAAACATTTAGGACAGTTATATTCTCATAGAGAATTTTTCCTCCCTCATTAGTTTATGGTCATCTTTATTCCAGATAATTTATATTATTCTGAAGTTTGCTAAGCCTGGTTCAATATAGCTCTCTAGCATGCTCATGATTAGTGTTCATATGGTACATCACTGTCAATCTCCATATTTTCTGTGAGGTTTTATAGATAAAATGGATTTTTGCTTATATTCTACTGTGAATATCTTTGAATTTAAAGTGGAATAATTAAACGGTGGATATTAGAGGTCTTTATTGATATTAATAAATATTTATGATTTTAGCAACTGTCTCATATTCATTGATTTCTAGTCTGGCTTTTTTGCTTTTTTTCTCTTTTTTGTTTTTATTTTTGTTTTTGTTCTGTGCCTTTCAATAAATATAGCCTTTAATTTTGTGCCTTTTTTAATACAAGTTTGTTTTGTCAAATTTGTAGTATA